AGAGCATCCAGGTAGCCCAGTTCACTTCTCATCTGCCACGATTAGATCTGGGGCTTTGAAAACGAACCTTCTCGGATCTTGGCGGCGGCCAACACGGATTTCTGCTGGCTATTTATAACCACTGGGGACAATCAGAAAGGTGCCCTCAGCGTTTTGGAGGCAGAAAAGGAACCTTCTTGAGAGCAGCAGCAGCCTCCAGGCAACTCCTCTGCCATGATCTTCAAAGCGGAGCCGTGCAGACGAGGACAGGGGGGTCTTGCGGAGCGAAACAGCAACATTAAAAGCTCATTTTTTTAGCCAAGCTGCCCTGCAGTTCCTGCGTCAACCCCCTGCTGCTTCCCCTTTCATCATTTCCTCTCTTTTCTCTCAGAGGAGAATATGACAGCTCTGTCTTTTTGCCTAGCAAGGCTACGAAGGGGATCCAGGGGGACGGACCAGGTTCTGCCACTAGGACTCCTGGGCCAGCGCCATGGTTCTGGGCATGCTGGAGGTCTCCTCCTGTGTTCTGAAGCCCGCCTGATACGCAACGATGCACACAGCCCGTCCACCAAGCACTCAGGGACTTAGGCGGTGGCTTCTGTCCTCTTGGCTCAGCCATGACACGAGAGATTCCTATGAAGCCAGAACGGTGAGCAAACAAATGCAAGAGGCTCCAAATGGGACTCCTGGGCCCCATAAGCCCTCCAGATGTGTGAGGATTTGATGGACACCGTACGTTCTGGTTTGGTTTTATGCAAACTTTGGATCCGTCATTACCCCGGCATAGGTGTATCTGCTCTGAGCTGGAACTTATGGTGGATGTCTTATCAATTTATCGATCTTAAAATCTGCACTCTGCTTTTCAACCCCTTACTCTAGGTGGTTTCCATCTACCAGCATACAACGTAAAGAAAACACAGAACAAAGTCTGTGTCCAGTCGGGCACCTTTAAGACCAACGAAGTTTCAGTCACGGTCAATGTTCCCTCTAAGCTGTGGAGTCTTGTGAGCAAAAATTCTACTTTGTGAGCTACTGGCACTAAAGTTGTGAGCAAGCGATTTGGCTGCTGCATAAATCATTTTGCTCTGGAGCCCTTGTTCCCGAGCAAAAACAAAAAATGTGTGAACCGGAGGCTAAAAAACTGTGAGCTAGCTCACACTAACTCAGCTTGGAGGGAACACTGGTCACGGCATAAGCTTTCGTGTGCGCGCACACTCCCTCAGATATTTCCGTTGGTCTTCAAGGTGTGCCCGACTGGACTCAAACGTTGTTCTGCTGCTTCAGACCAACACGGCGACCCCACGGGAATCTATTAAAAAAAACCACAGTTCAAAACCAGAGAAGCCATATGTCCTCACAAGTGTGCCTGTTTGTGTGCCTGCGTGCACTCCCCCGCTCCCCGCTCCCCGCACACACACACACACACTCCTGTTTCATGGACTGCATTTATTCAGGGAATCTGCACCACAGAAATCTGCAACTGGATATCTGGTGTAGGACTCAGTACTCTGGGCATCTTGTTTTTGATGTCACAGCGCTTGCGTTTTTGCAAGCAAGCAATACCTCATTCTGAACTTTTCCAAAGCTTCCCTTGTCAGTATAAGCCACTGAAGATGCTCTCAAGTAAAGTGGGCATGGGAGTTTCCGGTGGCTGCGAGATTGCGCAGTCGGACCGAGAGAGCCTCCGCGTCTTTGCTCCAAAAAACGCAAAATAAAGACTAATTGAGGACTATAACGACAAAAACAACTTGCTGATAAGAATGGGGAAGCAAAGAGGAGGGAAAGGAGGGAAAGCAGCCAAGAAAAACAACGAGGGAGCTCAACAAAATGAGCAAACTATGCAACCATCGGATGAGGACTCCCCCCCCCCCATTAGAAGTCGACTTGGAAGAAGAGGCACCTAGCCGGCAGAGTAAAAGAAAACGTGAGGACTCAATTACTAAGAAAGACATACAGACCATGCTGGTGGAAATGAAAAAAAGAAATTAGAGATAGCATCACCCCTATTCATCAGAAACTGGATGCTATGAATATCAGCCTAACAGATCTGCGGGAAAGGACTGACCAGGCACTGACGCAAGCTGCTATAAATAAGCAGGATATACAAAGCCTGAAGACTTTTGAGACTTGGAGTAAGTCCAAGATTATTCTTTTGGATATTAAGGCTCGGGAAAGGAAAATTAAATTCAGGGGAATCTCCCCAAACTTTTGCATAGACAAAGACCTCACGGACTCTTTAAATCTCTGGCTCCAGGAATTATTGCAGCTGCCGGCCGCACCAATTAGCCAAGCTTATCGGCTGAAACCACCACAAACAGGCTCGCCTACTCTAATCCCAGATATTCTTGCTGAGCTGACAGATATCAAAGTAAAGGCTATCGTCTTAGAAGCTGCAAGGAAAAATAATGGGCTCCAACTCGAGGATACTAAAATACAAGTGTTCAAAGACTTGCCATCTGAGATATTAACAGCACGCCGGAACTTGAAACCAATTACAAAGCGGTTGACAGAAAAACAAATTAGATACCGCTGGCTTCCACTCGGACACTTACAAATAAATTACAAAGGCAGAGCCCACACCGTTTATGATGTCAAGTCCGGAGAGGAAATGCTAACTGCTTTACAACTTTAAGCTTTGGACAAAAAATGAGAGGACAACAGGTTTAACTCTAGATAAGCCGATTTAATATTAATATATTGTTTTAAACATGTGACACTAAGGTACAATAGGAGCATAGCGGGTAAGGCACTCGGGAGGAACTCCCTTATCACCTTCTATAGGGTGGGGCCTTAGGAAAAGACCCCCTTTGGGATTTCCAAAGTCCCATAGAGAGGTGGCAACATCCAAGAACTCCGCCATGAAGATTTAAATTATTTGGTTGTTGGTTTATCTTTCTATTTAAGAGCAATTAAAAGGCTTAATATAATACGGATAAGATATAAGAGAAACTGTCTGGGACAATAATAAATATCATTTTATTAAGTTTGTATTACTTGAGTTGGAGTTTAAGGAAATAAAAAATAGTTTTCTAAGCAATCACTGGCAATGACAGGGGGGAAAATCTTTTTGTTTTAATAACCATTATAATGTAAACAGCCATTGCCAGGGATACGGTGTAAAAGAGGATGTAATGGACTGTATAGTATCTTTAAAAAATATATGATTTGTGTTGTTATCATGTGATATGCAAAATAAAAATATATTAAAAAAAAAAGTAAAGTGGGCATCATTTTTAGATAAGAACTCTGGGGCAAGGGATGCTTTGTATTCTTGGTCCTGGGGGGGGGCAACAGTGGGAGGGCTCCTAGTGTCCTGGCCCCACTGGTGGACCTCCCGATGGCCCCTGGTATTTTTGGCCACTGTGTGACCCAGAGTGTTGGACTGGAGGGGCCACTGGCCTGATCTGACATTGGCTTCTCTTATGTCCTTATGTCCTTAAGGTATAGCTAGGAGCTCTCAGTCTGGGGCAAGTGATGCTCTGTATTCTTGGTGCTCGGTGGGGGGCAACAGTGGGAGGGCTTCTGGTGTCCTGGCCCCACTGGTGGACCTCCCGATGGCCCCTGGTATTTCTGGCCACTGTGTGTGACAGAGTGTTGGATGGGGTGAGCCACTGGCCTGATCTGACATTGGCTTCTCTGATGTTCCTGTGTTTTGTCCACCCCCTCTACTCCGAAGCTTTGTGCACCCAGAATAGGCAAAGCGGGAAGTCCAAGCCCAGAGATGGGTACGGATTCTCCGTTCCCCCGCAGCCTCTCTGCAGAGCAAGAGAAGAGGAGCTCCCCAAGGGCCTGAGGTGGGAGAGATGCTACCGTTCTAGGCTCAGCACTGTGTAGTTTCTCCTGTCGACCTTCCTTTACACAGTCCCGATGAGAAGCATCACTTGCTTGGGCTGTCAGTCACAGATATGGACAGAAATACAGGGGAACAAAAAAAGAAAAAAAAGAAAGAAATACAGGGGAACAGTTGCTGGACTTGACCAAGGAGATCACAGAAAAGGCTGCAGCACACGCAAACAGAACAATCCTGGCTTCTCAGGGAAGCATGCAAAGATGGGAGTCTAGAGACCTGGAACAGAACGGCCTTGAGGAACAGTAAGAAGAAGACAGAGTGGCAGCAATTATATGGCTTTGTGTAGGTTAGAAGACATGTAACCCAACAGAAGACACGTAATCAACAGAGAACAGTTTGTTTAGGCTCAGGTGAAGAACGTGACTGAGAACTTCAAGAATGTCCAACTTCACAGAAGCGAAGATATGACTACTCAAGGACAGGAGTAGTGGTTGGGGGCCAAAAGATATTCACATGTAAGAGAAACTCACAATCGTTATTTTCAAATAGACTTTGTTAAGATAAAGAGTCATGAGAATGGACTAACATTTTTAATATATTCTAAAAAGATATTTTAAGTACAGATAAACTTGTGTGGGGTTGAAATGATAAGAGAATGAGTTAGCCAAGAATGTGCACCCTTATCAAGTTGGGACAGGTGGCTACTGTTAGGAGATGATTTTATAATCCTAAAAATATGGGAAGTTGAACTGCTTTGTGGATTTGAATTATATTAAGAACACAATAATTATGCTTCAATAAAACAAGCTTAGAATCTAAGCAGACACTTTCTGATTGAATTTACTTGTGTACTATACCCAGAATGAAACTAGAGTTACTGAGGTGTCCCTTCGGCTTGGAGTCAAATGGTCTGGTACGGGAAAGCTAATTAGACGCCTATTTATTTGTTATTTATTTATCTAATTTATATCCCGTCCTCCCTGCCGAAGCAGGCTCAGGGTGGATTACGTAGAATTTTACTGAACAGATAAAACAGAGAATAAACAAAATATAAATATAGATATTAAAACACTACCTAAAATGCTAGTGCAAATCCTGTAGCGATGCCAAGGCATTAGTAGCACCAGCATAGGGGTGCAGCCTAGGGCTTCTAAAGCACACGCCTGTGCCTGAACCAGGCCTGACCAGAGTTATCCAGAACATGGCGCATGAACAAAGGGGCAGCGCTTACCAAAATCTCTCTGATAGCAAAATCTTGGAGACCCCCATCCCTCGGGGAGTCCAGAACCACTGGGAAACCTTTGTGAGGGGCATGAATGTAGCCGAATTCGATTTCATCCTGGCAAGGGAAGGAGAAACATCAGGGTTACACACGTTTACACACATGAAAAGTGTCTCTTGGCTGCCAACAGCTGGTCACAGACCCACCACCGGGTTCCTTGGCAGAGATGGGGCACAGCTACACGACACGTTTGCACTGGGCCAGTGGTTCACTCTCCATTCCCAAGGACCCTGGGAATGTAGTTCTGTTAGATGCCTATCCCCATATGTGCCCCAGAGAGCAGTGAGGTCAGGAACACAGAATCGCCTGACCTTTCCCAGCCTGAGAGACGTCAAGCTGGCCGCTACTAGAGCCAGGGCCTTCTCGGTGGCGGCTCCACGCTGGTGGAATGAGCTCCCGGATAACATCAGGGCCCTTTTACAGTTCCGCAGGGCCTGCAAAACAAGAGCTCTTCCACCAGGCCTTCGATTAGGAGCTGCCACCGGTGAGGGTGACTGACCCAAGGTCATCCAGCTGGCTGCATGTGGAGGAGTATGGAATCAAAACCGGTTCTCCCAGATTAGAGTCCGCGCACTTAACCCCTACACCAAACTGGCCCAAAAAGGGTCTCAGATCTCAGGCGTCAGAGAGAGAAATCTCTGGGGGTCGAGGGTCCCAAGACAGGTAGACTAATGGTAGAAGGCAGCTTCCTACATTCCTGGATAGTGGACGACGGCATGCATGTCTGTTGCTGATATGAAATGGGGGTGCTTTGTGGCACCTTTTGTGTCCATCTAACACGGTGTTTGCCACTTGTTAGCCCTTGAGAGAACCCCCCCCCCCCCCCCCAGCTGCTGCTGGAAAAAAATGAAGGTCAGTGTCACTCTCCCCCTCTCACTTGAAGGCCTTTACGTTTTAGGGTTTTTTAAACCTGGCAATTGACATACTGTTACGGCCCCAGGCCCCACTCACCTGCATCCACCGGTCGCTGCGGTTCATATACTTGGAGCACACCTTCATCTGGCAGTTGGCTTTGCTCACCAAGCTCTTTATCTCCTTCAGGAAGAGATAATTATCCTTTACGCTGCGAGAGGAAAAAGGATAACACTGTTAATGGAGTCAGCTGGGAACTGTGCGGCTGAAAGAGAATTCCACAAGGTGTGTGTGTGTGTGTGTGTGTGTGTGTGTGTGTGTGGCTTCTTTCCCAGAGACCAGATGGGCCGATTCCACAATCCACTCTCACTAGGAGAGGAGCTGGACTGGTTTTCAAGTCAGCCAAGTGGACTGCAAGTAAAAACCACCACCACCACCCAGTTTGCAAGGCCCAGCCTCTGCCAGTTCTCTCTCTCTCTTAGGTTTTTGGCTACTGCCGTCTGCAGCCAATTAGCGCTTTCCCAGGTACCACTATTGCAGTGTGTGGTCTACTTCCAGGGGGGAAAGTCCCCCCCCTCCAAAGTTTGCTCGCTAGTACAGGAAGAAATGTTAAATGTAAGCAAATCTTCAGAATTCAAAATTCAGTAAAAAAAAACCCACCAACCCATAAAGTTTTTCTTCTGAAATGACTCGCATTAAGGTCTTTACAGTTAAGTTGCTGCTCCCCCCCACACACCCGTATAACTTTACCTGCACACAAAAACAGTCACTGGTGCCAAGGTGTTTGGGGTCATGATCCACGGAGCCACCCGGAAAACTACAGAGTCTGTAAAAATGGGGGTCTGTGGAATACCCTGAAAGAAATGCAAGCCTTTATGTAATTTGTTTTTAAAGGTACAGTTGTCACACCTGAATGGCCGGGAACCAAGGCTCCCTCTAAGCTGTGGAGTCTTGTGAGCAAAAATTCTACTTTGTGAGCTCCTGGCCTTAAAGTTGTGAACAGGTGATTGGGCTGCTGCATAAATTAGTGTGCTCTGGAGCCCCATCCTCCCTGAGCTAAGACAAAAATGTGTGAGCCGAAGGCTAAAAAACTGTGAGCTGGCTCACACTCACTCAGCTTAGAGGAAACACTGCTGGGAACATGTTGGGCCCTGATCCAACACACTGCACACAAAGCAACCGAGGCTGTGCCTGATTTTTTTTATTTTTTTTTAATCAAAGTCACTGTGTCTGTTTGGCATGCGAGGGGAGAAGACTCCAACCACTTCCTCCTGAACAGCTGATTGACAGGATTCAGGCTTTGTTTCCTGGACTGCGTCTCTGCAGCTTTGCCTGCTGGCTGAATAGTACTGTGGAACGTCTGTGCTTCCTCCCAGCATCCAGGCAGGGAGACCTGTGCTCCTGCGGGTGAGCTGACCTGCTGCCACCACGCTTAGACTCACTCGAGGCTTTTGCCACTCCTGCTTCAGCAGCTGTCGTGATCCGAACGCAATTACTAGGCTGGCCGGGGGGCACCTTTCCATGATAAATGTTCACGGGGAGACTCTGCCACTTCAAAGTACGGAAAGGCACACAACTCCCTCCCCTCTCCTCTTCCGCTTCCCAACGACTGTGAAAGTCTCACTGGTGAAAACGCCCCCCAGCAGCGTCTGGAGAAAAGGCAGCACATCGGCTGCCAGACTGGGGACGGGGACCAAACAGAAACGGGAAGGCTCTCTGCATACGCTCAGGGGGTTCTTTTTCAGGAGACTCCATGACACACTGTTCTAAGGAGCGATTTGGAACATAACAGATTTCAGCCCAGTAGTGCTTTGGCCTGGGTAGCCCAGGCAAGCCTGATCTCATCAGTTCTCGGAAGCTAAGCAGGGCCGACCCGGGCAAGTCCTTGGGTGGGAGACCTCCAAGGAATCCCAGGACCGGGAGGCCAGAGGCAGGCAGTGGCAAACCACCTCTCAGCGTCCCTTGCCTTCAAGCCCCACTAGGGGCTGCCAGACGTCAGCTCGACTTGATGGCCAAAAAAAAGAGAATAAAAGAGGAAGAAGAAGAGAAGAGATTGGATTTATACCCCATGGCCCTTCACTACCAAAAGGTGTCTCAGAGTGGCTTACAAACTCCTTCCCCTTCCCCTCCCCACAACAGACAGACACCCTATGAGGTAGGCGGGGCTGAGAGAGCTCTTGACAGAGACTGATCTTTTTTCAAGAACAGCTCTTGTCAGAACTACAGCTTGCCCAAGGTCGTCCAGCCAGGTGCAAGTGGAGGAGGAGTGGGGAATCAAACCCGGTTCTCCCAGATTAGAGTCCACGCACCTAACCACTACACCAAACTGGCTCTCACAAAAAGGGGTTTTTTTGGGGGGGGGATATGAGCTTTCAAGAATGAAAGCTCCCTTCGTCCGATGTAATGAAGGGAGGCTGATGAAGCGAGCATTGCCCCTCAAAGGCTCAGACTCCCCAAAATCTGTGGGTCTCTCAGGTGCTCCTGAACTGGAATCTAGCTGCTCTACTGCAGACCCACACGGCTGCCCTCCGGAACTATCTGGGGGGAAGACCGATTCCCCCTGAACCCCGGGACCTGTTCTGGCTTTTGCACTTTCACTAGGCACTGCTCTGCATCCCCATATTTCTCTCTGGGGCCAAGAAGGTGAGACACATCACCATGAACATTTTAAAAACCCTATTGCGGGGGGGGGGAGGCACCTTTTTAACTGAAGAAAACGTTTTCAAACCACGAGCTGGCTAAAAGCCATGGCCTAAGGTGGAGGATTCAAAAGCGCTCCAGCCCCACTGAAAGAGTGCCACCCACAGAGTGCTGGTCAGCAGTCCAGGTGCTGCGAGAGCAGAGAAAGGTCATTTTGGGCGAGGGAGGCGAGAACACAGGGGAGGCCGAGGAAGCGGAAGGCTGGAGGAGTACTGATTAGAAATGCCCAGCCAAATTAGCAAGTTGCTAATAGAAATTGTATTTTTATACGGCAACACGGTTGGGCCTCCCAGCTATGCTCGGCATGTCAGCCGTGGGCCAGGGAACCTGAGTAGGCAGCCTGGCTTAATACGAATTGGGCTTCTGCCCTGGTCCAATTGAAGCCACGCAGAGAGTCTGCGCTCCCGCCAGGGCCCTTGCAGCTGAAGCACAAACAAAGAGGGGGGACCTGAAAGGGAAGCGTCACCTGCCAGCTCCAGATTGGCTCATTAGAAGTGTCAAGTGAAGTGTCGAGCTGTAACATCAGCAGCTCCTTCCGCAGTCACATAACACCGCTCACAGAGTGGAGGAACGCACAGCGGGCAAGGTAGACGGGGAATTATTTCACAGGCAGTTGGGAGATCATGGGGGAGGGGGGGGACACACACAGCCAATCAATCAGAAAAGGCAGACGGGGCAAGGGGGAGGGGAGGGGCAGCTGCTCAGCCATGTCGGTGGTGCGGGAAGCAGCATCCGGCGTTCTGGCAGCTAAACTAGGCACTCGGGCACTCCGGTGACTGAACATCAGAACATCAGAAGAGCCCTGCTGGATCAGACCAGTGAGGGTCCAGCTAGCATCCTGTCTCAAACAGTGGTCAGCACCTTAGGCCATGGCTTTTAGTCAGTGGTCCATCTGGTCCAGCATCTTGTCTCACACAGTGGCCAGCCAGTTCCTCTGGAGGGCCAACAACAGGCCATGAAGACCAAGGCCTTCGCCTGGTAAGCACATCAGAAGAGTCCTGCTGGATCAGACCAGTGAGGGTTCATCTAGTCCAGCCTCCTGTCTCACACAGTGGCCAACCAGTTCCTCTGGAGGGCCAACAACAGGCCATGAAGACAAAGGCCTTTCCCTGATAAGAACATCAGAAGAGCCCTGCTGGATCAGACCAATGAGGGTCCATCTAGTCCAGCCTCCTGTCTCACACAGGGGCCAACCAGTTTCTCTGGAGGGCCAACAACAGGGCATGAAGACCAAGGCCTTCCCCTGAGAAGAACCTGAGAAGAGCCCTGCTGGATCAATGAGGGTCCATCTAGTCCAGCCTCCTGTCTCACACAGTGGCCAACCAGTTCCTCTGGAGGGCCAACAACAGGGTATGAAGACCAAGGCCATTCCCTGATAAGAACATCAGAAGAGCCCTGCTGGGTCAGATCAGTGAGGGTCCCTCTAGTCCAGCCTCCCGTCTCACACAGGGGCCAACCAGTTCCTCTGGAGGGCCAACAGCAGGGCAGGGAGGCCAAGGCCTTCCCCTGAGAAGAACCTGAGAAGAGCCCTGCTGGATCAGACCAGTGAGGGTCCCTCTAGTCCAGCATCCTGTCTCACACAGGGGCCAACCAGTTCCTCTGGAGGGCCAACAGCAGGGCAAGGAGGCCGAGGCCTTCCCCTGATAAGAACCTCAGAAGAGCCCTGCTGGATCAGACCAGCGAGGGTCCATCTAGTCCAGCATCCTGCTGGATCAAACCAATAGCACATCTAGTCCAGTGCTGTGTCTCACCCAGTGGCCAACCAGTTCCTCTGCTGGGCCAATAACAGGGCATAGAGGCCGAGGCCTTCGCCTGATAAGAACATCAGAAGAGCCCTGCTGGATCAGACCAGGGAGGGTTCATCTAGTCCAGCATCCCGTCTCTCACACACTGGCCAGCCAGTTCCTCCATAGGGCCAACAACAGGGCAGAGAGGTCTTCATAAGAACATAAGGAAAGTCCTGCTTGATCAGACCAGTGGTCCATCTAGTCTCATCCAGTGGCTGACTACATTAAATCACTACATTTAATGTAGTGACATCACGTCATGCTTCATGGCAGAAAAGGCTAGGCCCGGGGCACGGGCAGAGGGCACCGGTTACAGCCACCTCTCTGGGTGGTTTTCATGCCCTCTTGGAAGGAGGAGAGCAGACCCCGCACCCGTTTGCTTTCCCTTTTTTGTTACCTCAGCCAGTTTCTCCAGGAGGCTGACGCTGATGGTGACCAGCCCCTTGAAACTGTCATCCGGGAAGCGAAGACCCTCCACGAAGAATTCCATCTCTGCCGAGCCTCCTGTATATTTCACCACGTGGAAGAGCTTCCTCCGGCCCAGGACGTGGATGTAGCGCTGGCCAAAGAACGGGTCTGTGGGCAGAGGAAGGAGCAATCGCTAGAGAGGAGGGAAGGGGCCCTTGTTTGAGCCCCGTTGGCAGCTGAGGCGTCCCAAGAGCGGCTGCCGCTCTCGCATGCAGAGACTGGTGGCCGCTACGCAATGCGAAGAGAGCCAGTGGGATGGAGCGGGCAGAGGATCAGTTTAGGATCTGGGAGGACTGGGTTCGAATCTACACTCAACTAGATACTCCACAGACTTGTGGACTGCAACATGTATGACTTAATATCACATAAGGCTTCAAATATTTCTCAAATAGTAGTCAATATATGAAATACAAGAAATAGGCTGGAGATTTAAAGCGATATCTAACATTTACTATTTGACACTCCCAAGAGAAAGACTTCACAGATTCCAATTTCACATTCAATGGACTGAAAAACATGATCTTCGAATGTCCATAAAGCAAGTACATCCACTTCTTAAGACTTAAGATAAATATAAAGTACGTTGCAATCAGCAAGTAGATCCAGTCCTTAGGACTTCAGACAAACACTAAGAAATAGGCTGCAGTGAACTCATCCTTCAGATTATTCAATGAGTTTTCGATGTCTACAACAGGACTGCAAACGGGGACTCCCAAAGACTCTCAGCCAGTAATGCCTCCAAACTGTCTTACTCTACAGCACTGTCTCAAGACTGCCTTATTTTCCTTTATTCATGATGGAGACGTGTAGCCCGACTCTGTAGGTGGACTGCAAAGGCATGAAGCCCTGAAGACAAAGACAGCTTGGCCATACATGGGAGGAAATAAATACCGTACTACTCTTTCATCCTGACAGACACTTCAAAATAACCATCTTTGAACATGTGCAGAGTGCTTTTCCCTCAGTGCTGAAAAAACAGATTCCAGCCTCAGCCCAGCAGGCGCAGGAGTGACCTAAGAAACACTCCCCCTGGCTGAGGTGAAGGGGAGCGCCACGCCCTCCCTGCCCCCAGTCAATCCATGCACTGCCCGGTTGGCTCAGAAGCCAGGATATTCCCTGTTCTGGGCTGCCCCTCATTCCAAGGGCACCGCTGGACAACTGGGCCACAGGAGGGCATCTGATTTCTTTCGGCCAGACTCAAGACCTGTGCGCCCTTGAGAGAAGGGAGTCCATGGTGCCTCCGGGTCAAGAGAGATGAGCCCCGCGGGTCATTAAGGAAGGGCTTCCCAAAGCCAAAGTGCCGGGGCAAAGCGGCACACTCTTTAAAAGGTCATGTGAGAGACCCACCATCGTCCAGATTTTGCACCAAAAAATTCTGGAAATCCTGCCCTGGTCCCACCTATCCTTGCAGAAAGAAAGGAAACTGAGGCTGAAGAAACGGTGTGAAGGCCACACCCTTCGTGGTCCCACTTGTGGCTGACAGATTGTTGAAGCCTGGGTCACTCTGCCGAAAGGACTTTTGGTTCTCAGAGCAAATATGACCCTCTCCCTCCACCCTCAGAGTTTGAAACGGGGTGGCCCCGTCTTTGAGGGCCTTTTCTAGCTGAGTTCTTTGGCCAGTTTGGTGTAGTGCTTAAGTACCTGGACTCTAATCTGGGAGAACCGGGTTTGATTCCCCACTCCTCCACTTGCAGCTGCTGGATGACCTTGGGCAAGCCACAGTTCTGATAAGAGCTGTCCTTGAAAAAGAACAGTTTCTGTCAGAGCTCTCTCAGCCCCACCTACCTCACAGGGGGTGTCTGTTGTGGGGAGGGGAAGGGAAAGGAGTTTGTAAGCCGCTCTGAGACTCCCTTGGGTAGTGAAGGGCGGGGGATAAATCCAATTTCCTCTCCTCCTCCTCCTTTCTGAAGGACATGAGACATTTCACTCCAGCACAGCCCACCAGCGCCCACCGGCCAAGGGCACCCATGTGATCGTCCCCCTCAACGTTCAACACCGAGTATCTCATGTCATTGTAACTGGATGTGGTTTTATAACCAGCCATGAAGACACAACAAGCTTAGCGAGAGGCAGAGACGCCTCCTGAGGGTTAGGCAGGCCAAACAGAGAGAGACGGCAGCACGGGCAGAAAGCACTCCAGCACCGTAATCCCCTCAGAGTGCAGTCTCTCAGGTGTCCCGTGGCTGTTGTCAAAGGCGCAGGAGCCAAAATGGGGCTTATCTGAGGCATGTGCCAGTCCCTTAGCAGCTTCCATTTAGGAGCTAAACACTCCTCATGAGCAATTGACCTTTGGGCTTTTAATACCCTGCTCTTCTAGAGGATGGAGGACAGATTTCGGGGATTCTGCAGTTCCAGGAGGAGCCAGGACCCCTCCGCTCCTCAGTTTCTTTCTGCTTCATTCTCTTCACTTAAACCTATTTCAAAAGAATGCAAAATCCCACTTGTAATATTTAACTTTTAAAGAATGCTTTAGAAAAATACACTTTAAGTCTTGCTGGTAAAATTTTAAAGCAACATCATGCAACTATTTCCCCTTCTTTTGCTTACATTAAAGACGAATTATAGTTTTCTCTTCCCTCCTCCAAAAAGTCAAAGGTGGGGTTGCCAGCCTCCAGGTGGGGCCTGGGGATCTCCCGCTTTTACAACTGATCTGCAGCTGACAGAGATCAGCTCCCCTGGAGAAAACGGCCGCTTTGAAGGGTGGACTCTGTGGGATGGTACCCTGCTGAGGCCCCTCCCCTCCCCAAGCCCCGCCCTCTCCCGGATCCACCCCCAAAGTCTCCAGGTGTTTTCAAAACCAGACCTGGCAACCCTAGTCAAAGGTGGTTTGAAAGACAGGTCTTTGGAAGGAGGGTCTAAAGCAGGGCTGCCAAGCCGCGGCGGGGGATCTGCACATCTTCACAGGATCCCTGCCGCGGGGGACAGCGATACGCGTTGCACCGCGGTGCAACGCATATCGCTGTCCCCCGCAGCAGGGATCCTGTGAAGACGTGCAGATCCCCCGCCACGGCTTGGCAGCCCTAGTCTAAAGCTCAGTGGCAGAGCCCAAGATTTGCAGGAGGAAGGCCTTGGGTTCAGTCCCCGGCATCCCTAGTTTAAAAAGTTGTGCACCGCTGCCGTGCTAATTACTCTGCCAACATACCGTACATCTAGGGTGCCAGCTCTGGGATGAATAATTCCTGGAGATTGTGGAGGGTGGAACCTGGGGAGGGCGGGGCTTGGGGAGAGGAGGGGCCTCCATTAGGGAGCGGTGGCGCAGGCAGTAAGTGCAGCCTGCATTAACATCTGGCCGAACAGCTTCGGCTGTTCGAGCCCCACCGTGGCCGGAGTGAGCTCCCGGCCTATGTCCCAGCTCCCGCCCACCCAGCGGCTCGAAAGCCTGTTAAGGGCGATTAGATAAATGGGTACCTGCTAATAGAGCGGGGGGGGGTACCCGTCCCTTGTGTAGCGGCGGCGGTGAACGGTGAACGGCGGCGGCGGCAAGAATATGGTGGCGGCTGGCGAGGCAAAAGGCGAACGAAGGAGGCTGGACCAACAAGCACGGAGGCAAAGCAATGCAGGCCGGAGCCTACTTGGACGGAGGCCGCGTACATGCGCGGAAGTGCGAGTGGTCCAGGCCCAGAAATGAATTCGCAACAGCCGGAAGGAGGAACCTCAAAGACCAGTGCTGGAGTGGACGCCGCCGGACTACCTGCCGCAAGGCAGTAACAACGAAGATCCGCTACACAGAAAGGGTGCCTGGTAGGCTTGTCACGTCCCCTACATGTATGTGGCCCTAGGTTTAGGATTGTATGAATTGGAACATGTAAGCCACTCAGAGCCCTTCGGGGGTGAGCGGGATACAAATTGAAATATAAATAAATAAATAAATAAGGTGTAAAGCCATAAGAGTCACCTGAGGCCTACAGGACAAAAACCTCATGTTTGCAGAGCTTCCTGGCAGGGTGGCCAGGTCTGGGTTGGAAAATACCTGGAGACTTTGGGGGTGGAGCCGGGAGAGGGCGGGGTTTGGGGAGGTGAGGGGCCTCAGCATGGTAGTAGGATGGCACAGCGTCCACCCTCCGAGGCAGCCATTTTCTCAAGGGGATTATATCAAACAAAGAAACACTGTGATGAAAATGACAATAACATTTAATAAATCCTATGAACTTCAATTTGTATATCAATTAAAACTTCACAATATTGCTAAAGAAATTCTAACATTTTCACGGAAAAGTCCAACACAACATATAAGTTACTTTCTCCAGGGGAGCTGATCTCTGTCAGCCGGAGATCAGTTGTGAAAGCGGGAGATCCCCAGGCCCCACCTGGAGGCTGGCAACCAAGGCTCCCTCTAAGCTGTGGAGTCTTGTGAGCAATGATTCGACTTCATGAGCGACTGGCATTAAAGTTGTGAGCAGTGTTCCCTCTAAGTTGAGTTAGTGTGAGCTAGCTCAGTTTTTTGGCCTCCAGCTCATGCATTTCTGTCTTAGCTCAGGAAGGGACGGCTCCAGAGCAAACTAATGTATGCAGCAGCCAAATGGCTCGCTCACAACTTTAAAGCCAGGAGCACACAAAGCAGAATTTCTGCTCACAAGACTCCATAGCTTAGAGGGAGCATTGGTTGTGAGCGAGCGATTGGGGTACGGCATAAATCAGTTTGTTTGGAGCCATCCTTCCTCAGCTAAGACAAAAAATTGTGAGCTGGAGGCTTAAAAACTGTGACCTGGCTCACACTAACTCAGCTTAGAGGGAACACTGCTGGCAACCCTACTCTCTTCCTGCCTCCCTCCCTCCCTCCTGGGCAATGGCTTTTTACGCAGCTGCATGCAGGTGTTGGCAGGCAAGTCTTGAGCCAAAGAGCTTGAGCTTCCCAATTTGTCCCCCCAAATGCCCTTCGGTGTGCCTTGGCGCCCTGCCGCCCACCTCTTCACTCTTCCCTTTCTCTCAGCCTTCCAGAGCCTCGGCTGAGCCTTCCTGTGCTGTCCACCTCGGCCCTCCACTGCCCAGGAAAGCAGGGTCCCGTTCCTGAGGAGGAAGGAGCTGCGTTTAACCCGCTGAAGTGACCTGAGACCCTCTTGAGAGCGGCTGCTGATCGACGAGGCAACGACCGAGTGACGAGTCCCAGCGGGGCCCCTGCCAAGCACGCCAGCCCCGCTCCCTGCCAGCTCAATTGCAGCAAGTCCTTTCTGGCAACTTGTCGGGGCCCAATTAAGCACCCGGAATGCTGCAGACATCAGGGCCTTTTCTAATGGGGCATTTCGACAACAAGACCACTCACCAGACCAAATGCTGCTTATTCCCAAGTTGGTCATTGGCGCAAACAAGAGGCAGGCGCGCTAGAATTAATACGTCTTGTCCTCTGGGGGGCCGGTTGGAAACTAAGTGCTAAGTGCAGCGGGGAAAGCCAGTGGACACAGCGATTGGGCCCCTGGCAGGCCAGGAGAGAAGCCACCCTGTGGGGCCCCAGCAGGTGGGGACGCAGCCCCCACCCCCCGGTCATAGAATCATAGAGGCTCATCCAGTCCGACCCCCCTGCACAATGCAGGCAATTCACAAATACCTCCCCCTCCACACCCCCAGTTGACCACTGTTCCATGCCCGGAAGTTGACAAAAAACAACAACCCCAGGATTGCTTTCTGACCCCAAAGTGGCAATCGGCATTTCCCTGGGCGTGTAAGAAAGGGCCACAAGAACTAAGCACTGATGCAAACATTCCTGCCCTCTCTGTCATGATCTACCTAAGTTCCCAGAATCAACACTGCTGTCAGATGGCCACCTAGCCTCTGTTTAAAAACCTCCAAAAAAGGAGAGCCCACCACCTCCTGAGAAAGCCTGTTCCACTGAGGAAACATTCTAACATTCAGGAAGTTCTTCCTAATGCTTAGCCGAAAATTCTTCTGATTCAATTTCAACCCTTTGGTTCTGGTCCGACCTTCTGGGGCAACAGAAAACAACTCCGCACCATCCTCTAGATGACAGCCCTTCAAGTCCTTGAAGGTGGATCTCATAGCACCTCTGCAGATGCAGCAGAGTCCTGGGCCAGAGAGGCCATGGCAGGAGCCGGCCCTCAGCCTCCAGTAAGTCTTATCCTTTAAGAGGGACAGCTGTGAGCGGGAGCCTGTTGGAAGTCTGCAGAAGCCTTCATAGCTCCAAAGATAGGTTTGGAAAAGTGTGGACGGAGCTTGCTGAAATCGCAGAAGCCAGAGGGAGGAGAAGCGGAATGAACTCACCAGCAACCAGAGGACTAAGTGCCCTGCACAGCTTTCCAGAATAAGTGATCCAAAGAGAGTAAAATTTAGAGTGAACTGGTTAGGCCCAATGAGCATGTGACCTTCAGCCTTAGCATCTCTGCTTCTGGGCCCTCGTTGCCTCTGTAGGTTGCCTTGCCAGGACCCTGCGCTGTGAGGACAATCTGGCCGAGGCAAGGGCCACAGAACTGACGGCCTGGGTTGATTCAGCTGATCTGACTGGCCAGGCGGGTGTCCCCTCCCTCCCTCCCTCCCTCCATGCTCCGTTTGTGTTCCTCCAGAGTCTACATGCTCAGCTGAAGAGGATGACCATCCTTTATAGGTAAAGGTTCCCTTGCTCGAAAGCCAGTCGAATCCGACTCTAGGGTTGCGGTGCTCATCTCCGTTTCCAAGCCGAAGAGCCAGCGCTGTCCGAAGACATTTCCGTGGTCATGTGGCCAGCATGACTAAAAACCAAGGCGCACGGAATGCTGTGACCTTCCCACCGGAGCGGTACCTATTTATCTACTTGCCATTTCTTGCTTTCAAACTGCTAGGTGGGCAGGAGCTGGAACTAGAGACGGGAGCTCACTCTGTCATGCGGCACACTCGGGTCCCAAACTGCTGAACTACTGACCTTCCACAGCCTGCAATTCAGCGTCTTAACCACTTGAGCCACCGCAGCTCCGACCATCCTTCATAGGAGTGTCTTATTCTCCAGTCAAGGCCTACCTTAATGTGAGGCTTCAATCCCAGCCAAACTTTCTCCATCCCTCACAGATGCTGGACTGCAAACCTATTATTAAAATACCGCCCCAGCAGCTCAGCCATCACCAGAAGCACAATACAGAATATAGACTATAGAATAAATTGTGCACCTCAAAGGGACCGTGCATGTTTTCACACTTCACACAGGCCCCCGGAACTCTGGATTGCTTTTTAAAAAAAAAACGGCATCTGGATTATTTTGGCACAATATATTCACGGCTTTTACATATGCCACTCTGGCTACAATAAAATTCCCTGAACACTTCTCACATGCATAATCTGACGCCAGTCCCTGGAGAGTCCTGCCGTACTCTGATCTGAACTGGGACTCTTGAAACAATCCCTATGTAATATCTAGTACCAAAAAAGACAGGCGGAAGGTGAGGATAAGAGAGTCTCTGCTAGATGGAGCTTTCAGGCTGTCCAAACCAACACACTCAGGCACTTAATCGGGATAAAAGGAAGACATTCGAAAGACACCAGAAGTCAGAACGCCCCATCTGCAGGCTGTTGCTGTGAAAGTTGGGTGACTCTTTAGATTGATGTAGCCTTTTCTTCATACTGGCTTTGACAAAGAAAACTGAGGTTTGGCTTTAGAAGAACTTGCAGCCATACCTGTAGTCAAGCCACGAGAGGCATCTTCGGACAAAAAACCATACAAGTTCTTCCCAGTTGTATTTATGCCTTTAAAATACTTTGTTATATATCCAAGAGGGTTATGCATTTGTTGTACAAGTATCATTAAGTTCATTTAAGCTAAATTTCAGTTTTATTATGTAACAATAGAGAATCTGTGACATAAGTTAGCACAGTGTGATTCATTTTTGTTTTACACAGTCTTTTCCGTGCGCTCTTTTGGCTTACCCAACCTCCAAGGGGTGGCGGGAGACTTCCCAGAATTCTGACTGATCTCCAGGCCATAGAAGTCAGGGCCCCTGGAGAAAATGGCTGCTCAGGAAGGTGGACTCTATGGCATTACACCTGGCTGAGGTCCCTCCCCTCCCAAACTCCACCCAACCCAGGCTCCACCCCGGAAATCTCCAGGGATTTCCCAGCTGGAACTGGCAACCTGTCCACCCATGGGGAAACACCCTCTCTTGAGAAAGGGGAACCAGCAATGAAATCAATAAAATCCCAGATTCTTTCCGTATCTCAGCAGATGCTAGCTTGGGTCTTGCTACAGGATGGATTCACAGCCAACAGCGAAGCAAAATGAACGAGAGAGAATAGATACACAGACAGCAGAGAAAAAAAAGGAGCGAGAGAGAGAGAGAGAGAGAGAGAGAGAGAGAGAGAGAGAGATTGAAATAACTCTGCAGTAGAGCCAACAGCAAGAGACCCAGAGAGAGAGAGAAGCAATAAGAAGAAAGCCCACTTACTCTGCAGGTAGAAGACTCCTACTTTGTCAGAGTCCGACATCGGAATGTAGAGAACCATTTCGTACCCCGGAGGGAGCCTATCTGGGCCCTGTGTTCGCAGGATCATGCGTGACATGTCCTCGAGGTCTGGAGGGACAGGAGCCGGGAGAAGGAAAACAGCACATATCAGGACTTTGGACTCGGAAGGGTCACCAAGGGGGGTCTCTGGCCAAGGGTTTGGGCTGGAACCAGCAAGCTGGACATGCGCACTCCATGTGCCACTGTGCTGACCCCCAGGATGGGCTGACTAGCGGCTGATAGGCTAACCATCCCTCTGGAACAGTGGCAGCTGGTGACTCCGTATCCCCGGCTAGTCAGCATCTCCTTCTGAAGGCCTTTTGCCCCTCACGCAGGACGATCCTGCCACTCTCCTCCTTCCAAGCGAGGCGGTTCATACTCAGGCTGCATGACACAGATCTGACTTGAGTGGGAACTGGGTCTGCCTGCGTGCAAATGCATTCAGATCGAGATCCTCCCCTGACTTGCTAGACGGGGGCTTTCCCTCCAGGCTGGCAAGAGGTGCCTCCCCCCCCCCCCCCCCGGCCCCAGCACACCTTCCTTGCAATACACTTTGTCGTCCTGACAGTCCTCCATGGCTATGAATGGATTTTCCTTGTCACAGTTCACCAGCAGGATGGCACCCTGTCCGTCTGGGCCCCAGGTCCACGACGCCTGAAACGAATCACAGAATCACACAGAGCGGGAAGGGGCCCTGCAAGCCATCTAGTCCAGCCCCCTGCTCAGTGCGGGATCAGCCTACGGCATCCCTGACCAGTGTTGGTCCAGCCGCTGCTTAAAGGTGGCCAGGGAGGGGGAGCACAACACCTCCCCGGGCAGCTGATCCCACTGCGGTACAACTCTGACCGTCAAAACGTTTCCCCTAAGGTCCAGCTGGTACCATCCCACCCTTCATTTAAACCCATTCTTGCGAGTCCTCTCCTCTCCTCCCAACAGGAACAGCTCCCTGCCCTCCTCCTCTAAGCGACAGCCCTTCAGATACTTCAAGAGAGCCATCCTGTCGTCCCGTCCCCCCCAGCTCCTCTTCTCCAGACTGAACATTCCCAAGAAGTCCCTCGGCCTTTCCTCACGGGGCCTCTTGGTCTCCAGGCCCCCCCCCCCCCCCGCCCCCCCTTTTTCTCCCCCCCCTCCCCCCCGCGCCCCGCCTCCGCCGGGTGTCCCTGAGGGCCAAACACAGCAGGGGATGCTGGAGGAAGATAACTAATTGAAAATGTCGAGACTAGTGTGCGACTGCAATAAAAAAGGCCAAGGCTATGCTCGGGATTATTTGGAAGGGAACTGAAAACAAATCAGCCAGTATCAGAATGGCCCTGTACAAATCGATGGTTTGGCCTCATTTGGAATACTGTGTGTGATTTGGGTCACCACACCTCAGAAAGGGTATTATAGCATTGAAAAAAGTGCACAGAAGGACAACGAGAATGAGAAAAGGGTTGGAACACTTTCCCTATGAGGAAAGGTTAAGGTGCTTAGGGCTCTTTAGCTTGGAGAAACAACAGCTGAGGGGTGACATGATCGAGGTTTACAAGATTATGCCTGGGATAGAGCAGGTCGAGAAAGAAGTACTTTTCTCCCTTTCTCACAATACAAGAACTTGTGGGCACTCCATGAAATTGCTGAGCGGTCAGGTTAGAACAGATAAAAGGACATACTTCTTCACCCAAAGAGTGATTGACACATGGAATTCACTGCCACAGGAGGGGGTGGTGGCTACAATCATGGACGGCTTCAAGAGGGAATTAGATAAGCATATAGAGCAGAGGTCCATCCGTGGCTGTTAGCCACAAGGGATAGATAGGAACTCTCAGGCTGGGGCAAGGGATGCTCTGTCTTCTTGGTGCTGGGGGGGGGGGGAACAACAGTGGGAGGGCTTCTAGTGTCCTGGCCCCACTGCCGGACCTCCTGAGGGCCCCTGGTATTGTTGGCCACTGTGTGACCCAGAGTGCTGGACTGGATGGGCCACTGGCCTGATCCAGGATTGGCTTCTCTTATGTTCTTATAAGGACTGGTTCCTTCATCACCAATAGCTGGGAACTCAGAGGCGGGAAACTGGGGCTGCCAGTTGTCAGATTACAGCAGCCTGAGGTTGACGGATGGTATGTGCTTTAATGAAGCCACTCCCAGAGCCTGCCTCCAAAGAAGGCTTCTGAGTCGAAAAAGACCCTTCCCAGCCTCCTGTGGGGAAGTGTCCCTCGGCCTCCGGGCTCTGCTGTGCAGGATATTACCCACTGGGCCAAGGCCAAATGAGTGTCAATGGCGCAGTGCAGCTGAGGATCATCGGCTCAGCAGGGGAGCCCGGAGGAGGAATGCCAGGGTGGGCGTGGTGGAGACCTTGGTGCCAAAGCATGTAGGGGGGGGGGGCAGGCAAAGAGCAGGTGGGATCCCTGTCGTACAGAGTGTCCCAGCCATTTCCAAGGAGGCAATTTATTTTTTGGTACTGTGAAGACCTCACAAGCTCCAAGAAGTAACCCTAGTTGACTTTACCTCCCCACCCCACCCCAGGGCCAAGGTGGTTGAAAGAAAAGCGAGTTCTTGGGCACAGAAGCATGTGGCTGGGATCCCGTGGCGCATGAGGGTGCTTCAGGTCTCCCATGGCTGCTTCCTTTCCCCAGGAATCAGGTGCAGAGTATGCAGAATAGGTACAACCAGGGGTCATTTCCTGCGGAAATGCACAGGAGTGGAGCTCCGGCAGTAAGGAGCCCAGGGGGTGGGCACATGCAACAAGCCCCACCCCCTGCTCCCAGCAGCCCTCAGTCAGGCCACGAGGAGCAAGGAGCAGCCAGGTAAGTTGCAGAGCCCCCCCCTCCATCCCGTCTTCAGGTACAAGCTCTCCCTCCTCTGTGAGGACAGATCTGCGCGTTCCCCGCCCCCGATAGCTAACAATCCAAAACAGTCCAATGGAGCCTGAGCGGTGGGTGTTGCCTTCTGACACACTTCTGGTGATGTCAGGGGGTGTGGCATATGCAAATAAGTTATGCTAATGAGTTATACTAATGAGCTCCTGCACCTCTTTTTCCACGAAATGACCCCTGGGTACAACATAGCGGGAGAGAGATACAAACGACTATAGCACCTCCTGCACACTCTCTGTCCAAGACTGGCTAGCCGCTGCCCAAGCTTTGTGGGAAACCCTGCGAGGTCTGCGGTTTGGGCTGGCTTTCAGGTGACGGGCAGCTGGGAAAACACATGAATGCTGGTTTTCACCTTCCAGAACTGAGGGCTGGAAACCATCTTAGTGGCAACAGCAAACGGGGAGAAGAAGAAGAAGAGATTGGCTTTGTACCCCGCCCTTCACTACCCAAAGGTGTCTTAGAGCGGCTTACAAACTCCTTTCCCTTCCCCTCCCCACGACACCCTGTGAGGTAGGCGGGGCTCAGAGAGCTCTTGACAGAAACTGCTCTTTTTCAAGAACAGCTCTTATCAGAGCTACAGCTTGCCCAAGGTCATCCAGCCAGGTGCAAGTGGAGGAGTGGGGAATCAAACCCGGTTCTCCCAGATTAGAGTTCGTGCACTTAACCACTACACCAAACTGGCCTTACCTCTCTCTGCCCCTGAGCATGGGCGAAGGCAGCTAGATGGCACCCAGTTTGGTGTCGTGGTTAAGTGCGCGGACTCTAATCTGGGAGAACCGGGTTTGATTCCCCACTCCTCCACTCACACCTGGCTGGATGACCTTGGGCAAGCCGTAGCTCTGTCCTTGAGAAAGACCAGTTTCTGTCAAGAGTTCTTTCAGCCCCACCTACTTCACAGGGGGTGTCTGTTGTGGGGAGGGGAAGGGAAAGGAGTTTGTAAGCCGCTCTGAGACTCCCTTGGGTGGTGAAGGGCGGGATATAAATCCAATCTCTTCTTCTTCTCTATACAGAGGTGAACACACGGTGCCCACAAAATGGTCAGAGGGCATCACGGCAGAACTCACCTGCAATATTTCACAGATGTCTTCAAGCTCTGGCGATTGAACTCATAGGCGTAATCTTCGTGGGGGCGGCGGGGCGTGAGCCCCCGCCGAAATTTTCAGGAAGGTACTCAGCCTCCCCCGGGAACCACCCTTGCTCCTAGCAAAGCAATGCCTCTGGTCGAGCCCCAGCCCCCCCCGGGAAATTGGAAAGTCTACACCCTTGATTGAACTAATGTTACCAATATGTATTCCTGCATCACTTTTTATGGGGAAAGCCTGATCATGCACCACCCTGTGTCGCTAGCTCTAAATGACTTTCCTAGGGCTAACAAACCATCTTTGTGGCTGAGAAGGGATTCAAGACTGGATTATTTGTGCCGACACTCAAGACGTGAGCTTACTGCAGCGTAACGAGTCCTGCACACAAAGCAATCTCTCTCTCTCTCTCTCTCTCTCTCTCTCTCACACACACACACACACACACACACACACACACACACACACACACGTCACCTTTTTGGGGTTGTTCTTCTCCACCACCCCATCGCGGTCTGCGTCAACGTCCAAGGAGATCCCTAGAAAGAGAACCTTAGTCAGTGATCGTTTCCCCACTCAAGGGAAGGCCAAGGATTCTCCTGCCCTGTTAATAACGGTGTGGTAGAGGCAAACAGCCCTGAAGCTAAGCCGAGTCGGCCCTGGCTAGAACTTGGATGGGAGGCCACCGGGGAAGTCCAGGGTGGCCACGCGGAGGCAGATAGTGGCAAACTGCCTCTGTTCCTCTCTTGCCTTGGAAACTCCCGGGGGATGCTGGTAACTCAACAGCAACATGGCGACACTTTCCACCACCACAGGCAAACAACAGGTTGGGTTCCTCAGCATCAGGCAGCAAACCCCAGTCTCTGTCTCTCTCTCTCTGGACTTCAAGGTAAGCACTGATGAGGACGGAGGTGTTGGGAGTCCGGGAGAGTCCCAGTGTGAACAAACACCTTTGCTCTGCCAGTGTCTGCCAATCCCACGCCTGTGTCTCCCTGGCCCCCCACATTTTTGATATAGATTTTCTTTTCTTTTTTGCCTCCCCTCTGTTCTGCTGATCAGCTCTTTTCGAGAGGAGCTGGCTGGCAGGAGAGCAGACAGAAATGACATCCACAAAGCAGCCAGACTGCTGTGTTCTGCTTGGGCGGGGGAAGACAAAACCAACAAAAGCTTCATCCTCTTTTCACAGTACACACCTATGGTCACTGTGCAGTGCCCCAGAGAAGTTCGGCTTGGCTTTCATCTCAGACTGGAGAGAGAGGATGCTTTTTGTCGGAGAGCTGAAGGTGACCTCTGCCCAAACAGCTAGGTTTGTTTTCACGTCCTTTCAAAAACCTGCACAGTCTCTCTGACTAGAGGTGACCACGGCGGAAAAGATGTGTATGGATATATTCCAGGGGAAGTGCTGTCTCTTTCAGGCCACTGTTCACTCTCTTCAAAACTACTGTTCATTCCCAGCTTTAGGCAAGGCTCGGTGGGGGTACTCTGAAAATATCATAGATGCGATGGGATAAAACCACGCCTCCCTCAGGGGTGCTCTAAATGGCAGTAATTCAGGGAGCAGAGAAGACAAATCTTCAAGATTTCCTGTTTCCCCAGGACCAGGATACCCATCAGAGAGAGTTTAGCAGTCACTTTTGGTAGAGCTCTTTCAGACTTCAATGGACTGGTTATTAAATGCAATGCGTTGTGCAGAAAACAACACATTCATTGTGGTGGTGAATGGTGATGTATGTGTGTGCATGTGGGGGAGAGGTCACTGAGTGCATCTATAATACCTACTTGTATACATTTTATACCAATCTAACCCTCAAGAATGCTGGGACCTGGAGTGTGCAGAAGTCTCAGAGATGTTTAGTCTCCTTTCAATCCAGATGGGTAAAGGTAAAGGTTCCCTTGTTTGAAAGCCAGTCCGACTCTAGAGTCCGACTCTAGGGTTGTGGTACTCATCTTCGTTTCAAAGCCGAAGAGCCAGCGCTGTCTGAAGACATTTCCATGGTCATGTGGCCGGCATGACTAAACACCAAGGCGAACGGAACGCTGTTCCCTTCCCACCAAAGTGGTACCTATTTATCTACTTGCAATTCCTTGCTTTCTAACTGCTAGGTTGGCAGGAGCTGGAACTAGAGACGGGAGCTCCCTCCGTCATGCGGCGCGTTCGGGGCTGGAACTGCTGAACTACTGACCTTCTACAGCCTGCAGTTCAGCATCTTAAACACTTGAGCCACCGCAGCTCCCATCCAGATGGGTACTCCGTAGAATAACTGAGCAGCTGATTTGCCATTAAAAACTTTAGGGGCTGCTGGCACATACTGGTTACCCTTGGAACAATGGAAACGTGTAATTGCTGCAGCAATGTTATTCGCTGCCTCAATTGCTCTCTCTTTGTGATAGACCCATCTGGCGTTATAGTAAAAGTGAATACCCAAATACTTAAAGCTTTTGACTTGTTCGATGAGATGGCCTCCAATATTCCATCTGGATGGCTTCCAACTCTTACTGAAGATCATAATTTTGGATTTCTCAAAATTCAGAACTAGCCTATTCTTTTCACAATAGTCTACAAAGCTCTTCAAAAGGCATTTCCTATACGAGTTAGGGACAATAGCACAGCGTCATCAGCATAAAGGAGTAAAGAGATGGGGATCGAGCCAAGTCGAGGACTCGCCTCCTTTCCTCCCAGAGCTTTTATTTCAGGGCTCCAGGAGAAAGGCTGTTGCAGTTTAAAACACTAGTGAAGATCCACTAGTGAAGGGTGGCGTGATCTGGTTTCATGGGGTCGCAAAGAGTCGGACTCGACTGTGCGACTGAACAACAACAACTAGTGAAGGGTGCAAAAATCCACATGCCTTTGGCAAGTTAGCACACAACATTTTGTTTTGCAATATATATTTTTTTGCAATAATTTTTTTTTTTAAATTATTGCTTTCTTTTCCAAATGCAGCCGCTGGGGCAGCATTGTGGGTAGCATCTTGGACCCCCCCCCCCTTTCCACCTTGCTGCTGAAAAGCACCGCCCTGGAGACAGATCTTACCCCTGGCATGGGAAAATTTAGGCTCCGATCCCGTGTACTCCCCCTCTCCTTCCAAAAACTGCCATAGAACTAAATGTAAAGCGTAGTTCTGCCCTTAGAAGTTGCCGGGTTTCCCAGGCTGACAGTTGAGAGCTCAGACTTTGCCTCCCTCCATGTTCACAGCTGCGTCTAAGATGGGGGTGCCTCATCTTCTCAGCTCCTACTTCCTGCCTGCATTTCATTTATTTAAATTACTTTTATACTGCCTCCTAGCTCAAGTTCTTGAGGTATCTTACATAAATAGCCAATATAAAATATATGGTTAAAAAAACCAATGAGAAAGGAGGGACCCACAATAAAAACAATTGCAGCAAATAATGCTGCTAAAATATTAGACTACCAAAACATGAACTGCAGCAAATAAAACCAAACCCAGTGGCAGGAGGCTGCATAAGGGGAAGGCTTTGGCCTCTAGGCCCTGCCTGCTGGCCCTTCAGGGCAACTGGTTGGCCACTGTGTGAAAATAGGACGGTGGACTAGATGGACCCTCACTGGTCTGATCCATCAGGGCTCTTCTGAAGTTCTAAAGGGAAATGTGAAAGGCTAATACGCTTATTGTCACCCTAACCCTAATCCCTTTATCAGAGTTGCGTCACATGTCAAATCTTGGCTAGGGTAGGGGAACGGGGAAGAAGGCCAGGGCCGTGTGTGTCCGGCCAGCCTTTCCCAGCCTGAATATCAAGCCGAGTAAACCCTACAAGCCTACCAGGCAGGCAACTATCATGTTTCTCAATAACATTTGGGGCCATCATGTGAGACAGTCCCAACATTGCTGGAAATCTGTTTTGCCGCTACCCTGGTGACGGCTGTAACAACGCTCACGTCTATGGTTACTTTGAGTGCCTTTCACGAGAGGCAAGAAAAGCGGCGCGGCTTCCCACTTCGCAGCCATGGCAGGAGGGGAGGGACATTCCAGTGGGGATGGGGGGGGGGGCGGGGGGGGGGGGGGGGACGACCGTTTGAAGGAGCTCCCAGAAGTCAAGTGCTCCTGCACAAAGAGAGCAACTGGCCCCGAGAGGGAACAAAATCCAGCTACCAGCTCATCCCCCAGATAGTTTCCCTGGGTGTGGTTTCACACTACCGACACCCTGTCTCCAGCCATAGCAGTCGCTGATGCTCAATTTCATGGCCTCAGTCCTAGATCGGTAGGAAACTGGCTACGGATTCACAGCAGGGAAAGAAAAGCACTCTGCTTAGTCTCGGATGTACGCTGCGTATTCTTCCAGGCTGCAGGGAGACGGGAAATGTAGAAGAACGTGGCCGCTGCCTCCATTGGTCCTCTGATCAGCGTGTCGTTGTCATTTGAACTTTGTGGGTTCTCCCGCCACTGTGGAAGCTCAGTGGGTGACTTGGGTCCTGTCTCTCAACTTAACCTACCTCACAAGGTAGTTGTGCGAATAAAAACAGAGGAAGGGAGAGCACTGCTATCAGCTGCCCTGGGTCCCCCTTGGAGAGAAGAGTGGGGAATAAATATCTAAATAGACAGACAGGTAGGAAATTTTAACATTTACTGAACCTGAAGATGCCAGGATGAAGCCGGCATTTAGTTTCACGGCAGGAGGAGGAGGAGGAGGAGGAGGAGGAGGAGGAGATTGGATTTATACCCCACCCTTCACTACCCGAAGGTGTCTCAGAGAGGCTCACAAACTCCTTTCCCTTCCCCTCCCCACAACAGATAGACACCCTGTGAGGCAGGTGGGGCTGACAGAGCTCTGACAGAAACGGCTCTTTTTCAAGAACAGCTCTGACAGAACTATGGCTTGCCCAAGGTCATCCAGCAGGTGCAAGTGGAGGAGTGGGGAATCAAACCCAGTTCTCCCAGATTAGAGTCCGCGCACTTAACCACTGCACCAAACTGGTGTAGTGTCCTCCCCACTTGACCGGGGCATGTAAGAAAGCCTATTCTTGTTACGTTCCAAAGCTGAAAAGCTCTAAGTCTCTTCATATAGTCTATGAAAGCTGTAATAATTTGCAACTTAAAACAGAGACAAACAAGACGGCACAGACAGCACAGGCAGAGGAATACTCGAACACTCACCAATGCCCGTCAGGAAAACACCCGCTTGGTCTATAGGGGGGCCTCCGTTCTCGCCATAGTAGCCTACGGTTACCTGGAGGGGTAATATAACATCAGGTTACTTTGTTTATTTATTACAAACATTTATTAGAAGAAGAGGAAGAATTGGGTTTATACCCCACCCTTCACTCAGAGTCTCAGAGCGGCTAACAATCTCCTTCCCTTCCACTCCCCACAGCAGACACCCTGTGAAGTAGGCGGGAATGGGAGAGCTCTGAGAGAACTGCTCTTGAGAGAACAGCTCTAAGAGAACTGTGGCTTGCCCAAGGTCACCCAGCAGCTGCATGTGGAGGAGGAAGAAGACAAAGAAGAGGTTGGTTTTATACCCCACCCTTCACTCAGAGTCTCAGAGCGGCTAACAATCTCCTTCCCTTCCTCTTTCCACAACAGACACCCTAGTGAGGTAGGTGGGGCTGAGAGAGTCCTGAGAGACGGCTGTCAAGCCAGCACGTGTTGAAACCAGGCCCCAGAACCCTCCACTCTGTGCCGGGGACTGGGATCGGTGGGCACAGGTGGCCGGGTAGGAGCTCCGTCCCCGTCTCTCAGCTGCGCAGGCACCTCGGCGAGTAAAAGGCCAGTGGTCTGGGGCCAGGGGGTGAACCCCAGGAACAGGTGGTCAGTTGGCGCAAGCCTGCCTCATAAAGGGACGGTACGCGGCTACGTATAAGCCCAGATGTTCAAGCTTACGTGAGAAAATTCCAGTGCACAGAGGTTGTGTTAGTCGATGAGTAAGATGCTATGTTGATGTTTTAAAATCTACCCTTTTATTCCCTCTTGTAACCTTCTGAAATTATATTATTTGGCTTACTTCTTATTTAAATACAATAAAATTTACATAAAAATAAAACCTTACAGCTGAGCAAACTCCCCGTCGGCTGCGAACGTGTGTAATTTAAAGATTATATCTTGTCCTCCCTTACCCCTTGAATCATTGTTAGTCCCGTGTGCATTGAGTAACTGTAAATCACTCAGAGCCAGCAAACTCTGCAGGATTGAGCGATTAATAAATTGAAAGATTATTATTATGAAGAGAAGAAGAAGAAGAGATTGGATTTATACCCCCTGCCCTTCCCTCGGAGTCTCAGAGGGGCTCACAAACTCCTTTCCCTTCCCCTCCCCACAACAGACACCCTGTGAGGTCGGTGGGGCTGAGAGAGCTCTGACAGAAACTGCTCTTTTTCAAGAACAGCTGTGCCAGAACTACGGCTTGCCCAAGGTCATCCAGCCAGGTGCAAGTGGAGGAGGAGTGGGGAATCAAACCCGGTTCTCCCAGATTAGAGTCCGCGCACTTAACCACGACACCAAACAACAACAACAACAACAACAACAACAACAGGATGGTGATGTCCAGCTGACACTCCCCAGCTGACACTGGTCAGCCCTTGGGCCAGGGTGGGGTCAGTCCAGGGCCGGGGCAGATGCCAAGTGGCACCTGGAGGAGCCTCTGTTTCCCTGGAGCTCCCCTTGTGGGGCTGCACGGGGAGAGGTGGGGCTGGGTAAATGCTCGCCCCCTGCATCGATGTGTCTGCCTGCTGGCCACTGCATTCGGCCTGCCCACTGGGAGGCAAACAGAGATTATGGCAAATGCACCACATGTACGCACACGCACACTGCCCTGGTACTTCCTGCTTACAAGGAGATGAGCCTCGCCCAAAGGCTGCCCAGGGGACCCCCTGCTGCTCAGGGCCACGTGGAGCACGCAGCACGGCTCACCTTGTTGTCGTTGGCCTCGGTGCTGGGCCGGCTCATCCACACCTTCAGGACGGTCTTGGTGTCCAGCGGCCACTGCTTCCCGCCATTGGTAGGCGCCGGCTCCGGCTGGTCACGGGTGATGACTTCCACTTCCACCCCATCCGTGTGCTTCACGCTGAAGGTGAGCGCCTCTGCAGGAGCTGCGCTGTAAGAGGAAGAGGAGAGGAATGGGACGTGTGGGGCAGCCACAGAGGAGGATCCCTTCTTGTGGGGGAGGCTGCCTCTCACCACTGCTCCAGGCGCTGCGCAGCACCCAGGGGAGGCACCCCGTCTCTGCCCTGAAAGCGGGGGGGGGGGGGGGTGGGGGGGGGTGGGGTCCCCTACCCTTGCTCTGGGTTCAATCCCTGGGAGACAAAAATGACCCTGGTTCCAAGGCTGGGAAAACGTCACACAGGAATGACTGCTCAGTATCAAAATATTTTACATTGGCTCTTATATACTCAGCTGTCAACCCCAAAGCATTAAAAAAAGAAATCTAACTGTGCCTTGGTCAACTCAGGTCAGCAATGTGTGACAAACATGCAAGTATCCATGTATGGCTATTCTGCATAATTTATCTAAAAAGTTTCTATGGGCCACCATTAAAAAAGAGAGAGAGAGAGAGCCCTGCCTACAGAAAACTAGCATCCCAAGGAGATGGCTTGCCTGGAACTCTTCTTCTTCTTGACATGCTAGTTCCCCGTGGTCAGGGTTTCTTCTTCTTCCTCTTCACGCACATCCCCTGAGCCCCACCTGCAGTCTGCAGCCGTCCAGACAGACCTGTCCCTGGTCTCCGTGAGAACCTGGCCATCGCAGTCTGCCATTGCTGCAACGTGCTCCAGTAGCACCATCCTTACGAGACGCAGCAGCCTTTTGTGGCACAAGAGCTCTCAGCCGTGGTACGGCAACAGGACTGGTGGACTTAGGGTTCCAACTGGCCGGGGGGGGGGGGTGCCCCGCCCTTTTAATAGTGACCTAACACGTGGAAATGGGCAACGAAGCAGAACGGTCAATAACATCACCTGTCAAATAACAGCCCATTAAGCCTCTATTAAAAAGGAAGGACATTTTTGATATGAATAATATTTTCTGCACTACACAAACGCTACTGCTTGTCTGTCTTTCACAACTCTTCCCTCTCCGTCTGCACTAATTTATTCGCTGCTTGCTGGCTGCATCGGCTGATATGAAAATAATTCGATGCTCAGCAATGTTGCCGCAGGAGAAGTGTGCTCAGAGCCTCTCGGAAGAGACCCCACTCCACCCCCCAGTGAGGACAGTCACCCTGATTCCCAAGGTAGCTCTGTGATCCAGAAAGATTTACGACGTTCACAACTGTACGATCTGCAAGGCAGCGTTCCCAGAGACATGCGGTCGGCTCTCCTCTTTCTCTGCCTTTCACAGAAGCTCAGAAGAGGCGGAGGCACACATTCTGACCCTGAACTCTTACGTCCTCCTCCGCCACCACCTGCAGCTCCAGTCCACGACTGGAAAAAGCAAACTCTACGAAGGGCAAACAGTTACATACAGTTCAACCACATTCGTAAACATATGCTAAAAACAAATAATTTGGTTTGTAAACTCACTTTTATGTTTTCTGGAGCCCAGAAATAAAGCTTATTGATCTATGTGCCACCCTCCACGAGCTTTATTATACTGTTGTCCAGGTCTCTGGAGAGGCAGCATTTAAATTCTGCAAATATTTATTCATTTATTGAAACATTTCTATCTCACCTTTCCTCATGATTCAATAAACCACATTTGTCTCCATTTCAATGGAGGCTGACAATGAGGAGGTCATTGTGCTTTCTTATTTTTCATTTCTGAAAAGCAGCTTTTCTCTGCAACTGGGATTGTGCTCAGTGGCTTTTCGCATCCCTCTCCCCTCCTCTGCTCTGTCCTCACAACAACCTTGCAAGGTAGGTTAAGGGGAGAGGTTGTGACAGGCCCAGGGTCAGCCGGTGGTTTCCAGTTGTCCCAGGTCCTCGCCCGACACTCTAACTGCTGTGCCACCCTGGCTCTCCTCTCAAACGCTCCCCAGGAAAAGGCACGTTTTGAGAACAGGAATATCTTTTCTGCTGCTTGCATATTCTCGGCCAGGCACCGTGCAGGACCTTAGCCCTGAGGTAGATCCTGGCGCCCGGAAAGTTCTGCAGAACCTGAGCGCATGATCAGAAAGGCGTCTGTTCCAGGCCCTCACCAGCTTTGCAAATTAATCAGGGCCGGCTTTGTTGAATGGCAGCAGTTAGACGATGCCAATTTGTGAAGCATGATTGCGCTGAATGTTATTGCAGGCATCCCAGTTTCCCTGGGGTTGCTTTTCAGTACTGGCAGGCGCAGGAGGGACTTCAAGGTCAGAGGAGGTACCTGAACCCCTTCCTCTTTTGGATGCCGAGAGAGAAGACGGCACCCGTTTCGGGAGGCATTGCATAATACAGACGCCCGCCCACCTCTATTTTTAAGCCCTGCATCATCCCAGCCCTGACAGCGGCAGCTGGAGCCCATGGAAGAGGCTGGACGGAACCGTTTGCGGCCAGCACAGAAACCCCACCGCTCCAGCCGGAATGCAGCATTTCAGACCAATCTGCACAAGTGTCCTGTGTGGTACAAGCCCACCTGCCAGATGTTCCACATGCCCCAAATAAAAGATATTTTAAGATTTCATTTTGCTTGACTGAATTCTTTTATATAGGAAGTGCAGACTATGTTACACTTGTTTATTTTATGTATTTCTTTCTGTTTCATTCATTCATACCCCCAACTTACTCCCCAACGGGGACCCAGCACAGCTCACATCACTCGCCTCTCCTCCATTTTATCTTCACAACAGCCCTGTGAGGTGAGTGAGGCTGGGTGTGTGTGTGTGTGTGTGACTGGCCCCGGGTCACTCCGGGAGCCTCCACGGCAGAGTGGGAATTTGAACCTGGGTCTCCCAGACGCCACTCCAATAGTCTTAGCTGCTACACCCCACTGGCTGCCTGCTTAAAGGCCGGTCAGGAGCAGTGTTCCCTCTAAGCTGAGTTAGTGTGAGCTAGCTCACAGTTTTTTAGCCTCCGGCTCACACATTTCTGTCTTAGCTCAGGAAGGAGAGCTCCAGAGCAGGCTAATTTGTGCAGCAGCCAAATCGCTCGCTCACAGCTTTAATGCCCAATAGCTCACAAAGTAGAATTTTTGCCCACAAGACTCCACAGCTTAGAGGGAACATTGGTCAGGAGACCGAATCCCACCCTGCTTCCTAAACCCTGATGCCGGCATCTCCTTGCAAAACCTCTGGTCTTCTTCACTGTGCAAAAACTCACATCTGTGAAACTTGCTAAAAATAAGTGTGCAGGCTCTGCAGGGCCTGCGGGGGAAGCCACTCGGCTTCCTCCTTTCTCGTTCTGTAAACTCCTCCGGACAATAAAAAGATCTGACAAACGGTCATGGAGTTAACCAGAGCAAGCCAAGTCAGCCCATTTCAAGGAGGAAAGAAAGGTACCCTGCAGAGATGTTCCCTGAGGCCCTTTAAACTCTATTTGTTTCGCTAAGGCTCAACGCCAACGCTCCCTGCTCCGTGGGATGGTGGCATCAGCATGTGCCCTGGCAGACAGCCTGGCATAAACGGCTCATTTAGTGGAGGAACAAAGAACAATGAGCCGTAAACAAGCATCTGCAGTGACAGGCGAGGCTTACGCCGGATTAGGATGGTCTCGGTGTTTGAAAACACAAAGCCAAGAGGCCGGGAAAGGGGAGGGGGAGCCTCGGGGCCAGCAGACAATCGCGAAATGAGCGTGCCTCTGAGCACGTGCAGGTTGCCTGCTGCTTCCTACCCCAAGAAACCCCAACCAGCGTTTGCAAAGTCTGAGGTTTGGGGATAAGAGATTCTGGAGTGGAGGGGGTGATTTTAGGGCAGGCTGGACCCAGAACCACCACCCACCACCCACCCCGGTCCTGATGGCAGGAAGGATGTACATAAAGGGCTATGTTGAAGCTCAGCCCCCAAACCCTGCTTCAGTGCCAGGAATCAACCTTGGGAAGACGTCCAATAGCCACTAGACCATGCGCAGAGTGCCTTTCTCCCTACTTTGAGCACAGCCTAAAGCAGCACATGTCCCTCCAGCAAGTCCACAGCCATACATCCCAGTCTTGCTGGCAGGGGCTCCGGGAGCAGAAGGCATGGCTTATATGAGCCCCCCCCCCTGTAGCTCTTTGTTAGAAATGGTCCAAGGCGGAACCCTGCGCTGCCTTCTCTCTCCTCCTCTGCCCCCGCCCCCACCCCAGTAACCTCCATTGCCCCTCCACACGTCTGCCATCTAAACACAACAAAGCCAAAAGCTACACAGACTAGAATGCATGTTTGTTTCAGACACAACAGCTCCCCTTCCCCCCCTCCTGCCCAACAGGGCTTAGATTCAGCAGCACCTCAGAGACCAAGAAGGTTTTAGGGGTACCAGCTTTTGAGAGTCAAAGCTTCTGAGACCCCGGAAATCTTGTTGGCCTCTTTGCCAGTGTTGGTGTCGTGGTTAAGTGGGCGGACTCTAATCTGGGAGAGCCGGGTTTGATTCCCCACTCCTCCACTCGCACCTGGCTGGATGACCTTGGGCAAGCCCGTAGCTCTGTCAGGGCTGTTCTCTCAAGGGCACTTCTCAAAAGAGCTTCCTCCTCAGCCCCACCCACCTCACAGGGTGCCTGTCTGTTGTGGGGAAGGGGAAAGGAAAGGAGTTTGTCAGCCACTCTGAGACTCCTTTGGGAAGTGAAGGGCCACGGGGGATAAATCCAATCTCCTCTTCTCCTCCTCCTCCTCCTCCTCCTCCTCCTCCCAGGGGCTCCTGGATTTGAATCTAGCTCACCTCCTGCAGACCAACATGGCAACCCTCTGGAGCGAACAGCATTTGTGCGTGACGTTTTCTTGACTTTTGGCATCCCTGGTGAAAAGGCTGGAAGGTGGATCCCGCTGCCCTGCCAGGGCTCAGCCAGAGGGCGGCCACACTCCCCACTTCCGCAGCCGGCCCTCTGAGCTGGGGGCGCTAAGAAAGTCTGTCAGGTGGCCAGAGGAGTTGCCAAGGATTTTAGGAATTCGGTACTAAATGCACCACCGACACAACTTGGTTCCTTAAAGTTTGAGGGGGTTTTAAAACATTTTTGGATCTTTAAAGGCTTCAAGTAAACTCCGGAGACGGCCCTGCCAGCCCGTGAAGACAGGACTCTTGACAGATCTGGGCGTCAGTGCCAGGGGCTGACAAGTCACCCACTCCATCTCCAGCACCTAGCGCATGAAGCCGAGAAGCTCTCTGCCGCACAGGAATCCAGGGATCGAGATCTAATCTCTGCGCTCGCATGCCCCAAACTCTGGAAAGTGGAGGGGACAGCTGACCCAAAGAGAGCAGGGCGAGCGAGGGATGGGAATGACACCTGTCCAATGGATCCCAGAAAGGGGTCCTGCCCCAGAGGGGCACACGCACTCATTTGCCCAAAACTCCACAGAGTCCTGCAGCACTTCAAGAGCAAAACAGGGCATTAGAGTGGAGATTGAAGAGTCCTGGTCTTCAAAGCCAAAACGATCTGGCACCTGGATGCATAGACTCTGCCCCCCTAAATGTTAGGTAGGCTGCAAGACACTCTAGCGCAGAACAAGAGGCTGGAGTAACATTTTGGGTTACCTGCCGGCACAGAAAAATGCAGACCTGCCCATCCCTCCCTGTGTTACATGAAAGTTTGCTTAGACCCCCAAAGAGAGCCCCCAGCCTTGCCCTCGGCCCGCCCCCCCAACTCTATGCACCTTGTCCGGACAGAGCCCTGGTTGGCACCTGCAAAGTGCCCTGGGCGGCAGAGGGAGCTGCCACAACGATGCATGTCGCACCCTGGGGCACTTTCCAGATGTGACAAGGTCCCTCTCCAGAGGGGGCAGCCGAAGTGCACAGGGCAGCAGGGGGAGTTGAGACCTGGATCCGCCCAGGTCTGTCACCCGCCCCGTCAAGGACTGCTGGGCTGCTTTTCTATTCCGAGAGCCCAGTTTGTCAAGGAGCATCCAGCTAAACGTGTGCAGGGCTTAAAATCTGCCTCCATTCCTGAGGATTGGAAGGTAGCTAATGTCACTCCCATCTTTAAAAAGGGTTCCAGAGGAGATCCGGGAAATTACAGGCCAGTCAGTCTGACATCGATACCGGGTAAATTGGTGGAAACCATTATTAAGGAAAGAATTAGTAGGCACATAGATGAACAAAACCTATTGAGGCAGACTCAGCACGGTTTCTGTAAGGGAAGATCTTGTCTCACTAACCTGTTAGTGTTCTTTGAGGGGGTGAACAAACATGTGGACAAGGGGGATCCAATAGATATTATTTACCTTGACTTCCAGAAAGCTTTTGATAAAGTTCCTCATCAAAGGCTCCTAAGTAAGCTCAAAAATCATGGGATAGAAGGACAAGTCCTTTTATGGATCAAAAACTGGCTAGTTCATAGAAAACAGAGAGTGAGTGTAGGTGGGCAATTTTCTCAGTGGAGGGTGGTAAGCAGTGGGGTACCGCAGGGATCAGTACTTGGTCCACTGCTTTTTAACTTGTTCATTAATGATTTGGAGATGGGAGTAAGCAGTGAAGTGGCTAAATTTGCGGATGATACAAAGTTGTTCGGGGTGGTGAAAACCAGTGAGGATTGTGAGGCACTCCAAGGGGATCTGTCAAGGATGGGCGAGTGGGCGTCAACATGGCAAATGGGGTTCAATGTGGCCAAGTGCAAGGTGATGCACATTGGAGCCAAAAATCCTAAATATAAATACACATTGATGGGGTCTGAACTGGCAGAGACTGAGCAAGAGAGAGATCTTGGAGTTGTAGTGGATAACTCACTGAAAATGTCGAGACAGTGTGTGACTGCAATAAAGAAGGCCAATGCTATGCTGGGGATTATTAGGAAGGGTATTGAAAACAGATCAGCCAATATAATAATGCCCCTATATAAATCAATGGTGAGACCTCATTTGGAATACTGTGTGCAGTTCTGGGCACCACACCTTAAAAAGGATATTATAGCTTTGGAAAAAGTGCAGAAAAGGGCAACTCGAATGATAAAAGGGTTGGAACACTTTCCCTATGAGGAAAGGTTAAAGCGCTAGGACGTCCTTCTTCACCCAAAGAGTGATTAACACTTGGAATTCACTGCCACAGGAAGTGGTGGGTGCTACAAGCATGGATGGCTTCAAAAGGGAATTAGATAAGCATATGGAGCAGAGGTCCATCAGTGGCTATTAGCCACAAGGTATAGCTAGGGGCTCTGGGGCAAGTGATGCTCTGTCTTCTTGGTGCTTGGGGGGGTCAACAGTGGGAGGGCTTCTAATGTCCTGGCCCCACTGCTGGACCTCCTGATGGCACTGGTATTTCTGGCCACTGTGTGACACAGAGTGTTGGACTGGATGGGCCTTTGGCCTGATCCAACATTGGCGTCTCTTATGTTCTTATGTTCTTAGGGCTGCCTGGCTGCACCCGACAAAGAGTTCTGAATGATGGAATGCAAATTTCCAGGCCAACAGACAGTCTGGTAGGAAAGGCCCCCTTGTTCCATTATAACTTGTCACATAACTTCCAAATGAGCAGCCAGCAGGGATCTCCTTTGAAAGGCTGTCTCTCTAAACAAAAGGGGCGCTTTGGGGCGACGCAGAGGCCTGTGCTGTCTGGTGGCCCCCTTCTTTTGGGAGGAGCTGCCGTGGCATCTGGACATGGAGGAGGCGGGGCAGCCCTGTGTGTGACAATATTTTATTGATTCCCTTCATTGACGGCCTGCCTCTCCCGTCAACGGAGCCCTAAAGAGGCTGGCCTGGGTCTCCTCTCCTCTGTCGGCGCAACAACCGCCCCGCGAGGCAGGTGAGGCTGAGGGTGTGTGCCTGGCCCAAGGAGTCACCCGGCGGCGAGCTTTCATGGCAGAGGGAGGATTCGAACCCGGGTCTCCCAGATCCTGGTGCGAGGCTCTGACCCCGGCGGCCCCACAGTTTTGTACAAGAGAGCCTTAAAGGCTAAAGGGGAGGGGAGGCAAGGCGGGGGCCCTGCTTGGTTGTAGGACTCTCAGGAGGGGCCCCCGACTTAAAAGGGGCTGCTGTAGCCCAAAGACATTTGGGGAGAGCTTGGCCTTTTCCAGCAGGAAGGCCGTCGCCACACGCCGGGCATTTGGAGGGGTCCCCCTTGCAGGAACGCCGGCTGAGAGCGCAGGCGAATTCGGAGGGGGAGAGGAAGGGGGCGGCCAAGGCCCCCTGGGGGGGGGGGGAGATGCTCCTATGCAGGCAAAAAAACCCTAAAAACCCAAGGGAGGGGGGCTGCGCCTCCCCCCCGGGGCCCCTCCACTCACCCGTAGACGTCGATGGAGATGTGGGTGCCCACCACGCAGACGGCCTCGATGCGGTTCCCGAACTGGAGCCGGAGCGTCCGATCCCGCTGCAGCATCTCGCCGTCGGCCCCGGTCCCCCAGCCAGCCAGCCAGCCAGCACCCTCGTCCGACCCCCGGCTCGACGGCGCCCGCCCGGCTCCTCTGGTCCCCGCACACAGGGGGCCGCCCCGCCCC